TAGTTCCCATAAGCAGAATTTGAATTTGTTTAGTTTGTTTGAAAGGTAGTTTTATATGGATTCATGAAATGTCCACAAAAATATTTTCTTTTTTTTTATTATGAACGGAGTAGGCTTTCAAAACAACTATATCTCAATTGTAATTATTTAACATGAGCTCTGTTAAGTCGTTAACAGAGTGATGTTAACAGAAATGGTAGGTGTCTATACTAGTTAAATTCGAATTTATCTTCACACCCTTTCCAATAACTCATTACATTTTATTAGCCATAAGCAAATTTCCGATTCTAGCTGTGTTTACTCTTTATCTTTTTCTCTCTTTCTTTCCGCACTTCCATCACAAATACTATATACAGAGAAGATTCCCTGAATGGTTGATCGTCTAACAAACAGACAAAAAGAAGCCTAGGGCTAGGGTTTTGTAAAACATTTTGGCGTGGCTGTCAGTTGCGGATAGTTATATGTATGTGTATTTGCTAAGCGAAAATTTGTTCTATCGTAGATACATATGCTTATGGAATACTTTCTTCACAGAAATCCTGTCTTTTACTATCACCTCGTTCTGTTGACATTAACAGTAACGATATGTGGACGCAAACTTTGTCTCCGTCTCCGTCTCCACCATTAAGTTTCAAGTGAGATCACGGCCTTTTCTTCGAAAATTCTTTTATGTACCTACTAACATACATCTCTTAAATATAATCTCTGTTATCCAGATACCATAAAAATTAATGCGATGCGTGAACAGCACTTGTGTTCAACATTTTATTTTGAAGAACTATCGAAAGGGCAAAGTCATTTTTGCTTATTTTTAATTGTCAAAGCAAAAATTTGCCAAATGAGATTACGAAACGTTAGCGTAAAGATACTTCAACGAATCTTTTAAACTTTCACATTTCTTGTATCGCCAAAACATTTCGAACAAAAAAAAAAAAAGAAGAGAAGTAAAAGATGTTACAAAAAAAATCTCGTTTTGAAGCTGCTTAAAAAATCTTTTCAACATTTTCGGTCGTCTCCCGTTCAAAGACAAGTAAAAAAAAAAAAAAAGCGAAAACATTTCGAATTATAAACATATATTTTTCTTTCGAAGGGTTTCGGAGGTAAAGGGTTCTCTGAAGTAATTTTGATCGATTAATAATATCATCAATCAATTGCTGTTGCGACGGGTAAATGCTTTCTACAATTGCGACATCTGCCGCATAATAAATTTGCCCATAGAGAATTGAAGATGAAAGGCTATTTTATCATTATTAGCAAAGCAAAGCTAAATAAATTTCATTCATACGATTATATAAAATTATCTCAATTTAGAATAAAAACGAATTAACAGTAACACTACAGAATAATTATGAAAAGTGCAAACATTATGCTAAAATACGCACAAGTATAGGTAAATGTACGTAACTTGGAGTTAAATGGTTATTTATACGCACATTCCATATATGAAACATTGTGAAAACTGTGCACGTACGTAAATTTATTTATTCATTTTTTTTTTTTTTTTTTTTTTTTTTGTGGAAATGAAAAACAAAAATCATTTGAAAACGAAAATGTGAAGAGCATGCGAATGAATACAACAAGAATAATGTGGTTCAAGTTCAGACCGATATAGAAGAAAAAGAAAAACAAAAAACAAAAAAAAAAAGGCTGCTGGCAAACTGGTGAATTAACATTTTGCACACATACATAAGTGGGAGTAACACATAAACATAAAAAAAAACAATAAACCGATATGTACTCCAATAAAAGTTGTTCGTTGTAACAAAAAAAAAAAAAGAAGATGCTTTAAAATGATATCAAAGCATGCTTTCAAGAGCACTTGCATATAACTCTCTTTCGATAAAGGAGAGAAATAGAGAGTTGATATTGAGAGAGCATACATATATATATTTATCTGCATTTCTATGCATGTGAAACATGCGGGGCACAAATTTATAGAGCAGTGCGAGGGTGTTCTTCTCGTTGATATATAGTTGATATAGGTGCCGACACTAAGTTCGTCTGTGTGGGTAAGGTGGGTGAATGCTCAATTAGACGTTTGCATATTTTTTATTAACTGCATGAATGGGTGCATAGGTGAAATATCGACAATAATAAAACCGAAAGCAATTTAGATAAATTAAAATTCATACAGTACTGATTGTTTATATTTTTATTTCAATTAGTGCGGTCGGGCATATCGTGTTTAATAATAATGAATTGATCAACTTACCGCACTGAAGGTTGTTATCATTGTTGGTACAATGCGTAAGCCTGCATTTTGTCGCTTGTAGTGTGTAAAATCTCTAGCAGTTTGTCGTATTAATAAACGGAAACTTGTTACGCACACACTCGCCGTCGTCATTTTTACCACCAGTTGTTATATTATCCGCCTGTGTCCGATCCTTATGTTTACCAGCTGCTTTTGCAATTCACTAGATTCCCAGATAGCGATATGAAACACAAATACTGGATGCTGCTGCTTCTTACTTTTTTTTTCTTTTTAATATCTACTCACTACTCCACCTTCATATGCAATATTTTTTATATTAATCATACAAACACAACACACACATACGCACACAAACACGTGCTCTATTGCTTTTATTTTTCGAAAATAATTTTTGCTTCTATTTTATTTATTTATTTATTTTTTTTTTTTATATTATATATAAAAACTTGTTTTTAACAAAAAAATATTTGAAAAAAACAAAAAGTATTAATTTTGGGTAAAAATGTACTGACCGAGCTTAACAGCGACAAATAACGTTTACACCAACGAACGGAACGACAAATTGTGTATGTGCTGAGTTTGATATTTAACGCAAGCGAAGTGACTGACGCGACTGACTGATGGACACTGTAGGAGCAACAACAACGACAAAATCTAAAATCTGTATATATGTATGTTGTATATATATATGTGTTCGCTTTGTTATTTAAAATGTTGTCTTTTTGAGCTTTTTGAGAGTTAATTTCGCTCTTGAAATCTCCCTGCGCAAGTTAGTAGCTGTTTATTTATTTTCGCACAGACCGACATTGCCAGATTATTTATTGACCCCGTTCTCAGCGTAGACAATCTCTCCAACAATTCCCACAATTGTTTGTCATAATGTCATAATCTACTGTCAATTGATAGGTGATGTTAATAAATGCAAAATTTATTTTTTCACTTTGCTTTTAATTTATTGTTTAAATTATATTTATTTATATTTCGCTAATAAGGAATACATTAACGATCGGTTCTCTTTAACAAAATAACTAAATACTTTTCATGATCAGAAGCAACTCAGAAAATCGACAGCAACAAGTGGATCGCTCTTAGCGCTTTTATGAAAATATTCCTAAAATAGGTATTCGCAAGGTATTGACAATCGGTAACTCTCTGGCTTTATTAACGTGAAACATGTTGTTGTATTTGCTTAACCTGAAAATTTCATTATTAAAACAAGGAGACACTTTATGAATACAACGTGTCCACGCAACAGTAGGTGGCGCTATAATTTTTAAATAATATGTACATACATGTCCATTTATATTAATATATATATCTTTAGCCTATAACAGTTGTTATTTCGTACATTACTTATGGTATAGGGTATATGAAGCTCTTGCGGATGTATGTAATACTCAGAAGGCCTTAAGCTAGACCCACTTCTTATTATACCAATCGATTCAGAAACTGATTCTATCCGTCCGCCTGTCTTGTTATCGAGTATTCAATCTTGACATGTTTTGGATAATAGTTCAGATCTACTACTACTTTTTCGACCACTCCCCGTATAACGCCCAATTTAGAAAAATCGTTATAGAGAAAAAATTGAAATTTTTAAAATTTTTCGATACAAGTCGCCAAGTAACTGTATTTCGACATTCTAAATTGGGCAATTTTTTGAATTTCGTCTGATATAACCGTTCTTAGCGATCACGAAAGCGGATCTTCATATGATCAACAGGTGTAGTTTTCAATATTTCATTGTGAAAAGTGATTCATAATAGCAAATCGACAAAGAAGTCAACGTTATCGAATTTGATTTCACATACGTCTATTTTTTTGAATATCACTGCTTGTAAATGTTCTTAGAAAAAGGAAATCCTTATATGCCAAAGAGAACTAATTGTTAATATTTTATAATGAAAAAGTGTTCATTATAGTAATTCAACATAAAACGAAACGGACCAAATCCGGGTTACATAGCCCTATTTTTTAGACCCTCAAATATATAAGGATTGTCGTGAACAGCAAGCCCTTATATGGAAAGCATCCCAAATTGGGATTACGTCATGGGCTATTTTGGGCATCCTCCAATGTGCGGACTTTCATAAAAAGCGTGCCTTTGGATGAAAATAATGTGTAATCGTTGGTATATGATTATCAGAATGGGTGAATAACTGCACTAGGCAAAGTGGTGTCGGGTATGCCTCGCTTGATCTATTTTCAACATTATAGTATTAGATAATATAATACATACTGAGCTTTAAGAAGAATGTCAAAATTCATAGGAGCGTTTCATTTCTATTAGTCAAAGCCATATACGTATACGAATACCACTCCTATTTGTGGATTTCATATTTCCTTTAAGCCATAGTAGGCGGAAATTTTTTCCGACTTTTTCTGAATTTGAAATGCTGGTTGATCGATGCGTCTATCTGACGCATAAGATCAAATTTCAAATCGATATTTAATATAATTTAAATTTAAATTTTCAGCACTAATTATAAATTTGATATTATTTTGGACGAGTTTGTCCATGACAACACCAGTCTATTTTTTTTAAATTTTATTCAGACAATTAAATTAAAATTTGTTGCGGCCTAAGCTATTCTCTTCATGTCCCTATGCTTTTTCTAAAGCTAACTCTGAAATGTAAGTTTGCTTCAGCATTGCATACTGAATGAAAACTTTAACAATTAGAAAATGTATACGAAAGCCTGGAAAGGGTCAATACTTAAGCTTTCAAAGACCGAATAGGGAAAGAATCTCGACTAACAATTCAATGGTCGTGGGTTCAAATCTCAAGTGCGGTAGAGTTTTCAATACAGCTAGTAGACCTAGATGTGCCAGTGCTTTCAGACTTTAGTCTTAGAATTTATTTCGCTGGCTAAGTTAGCAATTGTTTCTTGAATTAAAATAATGTCTGAAAGCTTAAAGCTCTTTTTTATTTGCAACGAATAAAGTGCTTAAAAGTTCTTTTAAAAGTTCTTAGGTAGAAATACAGAATAAATTGCTTTAAGAAAACTTAAGTCTCTTTAAGAACCATGGCCGACCTCGCGCAACACGAATTTACAAAAATATATTTGTTTACAATAAAAGTTTAGGCATTCGAATGTCCTTACTATTTACTTGTGATTTTCGATTATTGCGCGTTCAGTTTTCAGCGTAATTCACCGAACATTATGCTATCTGTTCTGGTGCTGCTATATATCCCCTAATATATCCACTAATAATAAATCTTACAACTTCTTTTGTTGTAATAATTTTGTTGCATTTCGAGAACGCCGTGGTTTTCCCATTCGAATTAACCCTACCCGTTCATTGTTCGAGTTTTGAAAGACAAAATAATTGAGATCGAATACGAATCGCCTGATCTCGTGCAAGAGGTTTTGTTATCAATCTCAAAACACTGCTAGCGCAAGCTTAAAAATTCTATTCTTGACTCTTGTCAACCACTTATGATGCATAGCAATAAGAATTTGCCATCAATGTACTTTTTGATTAGCGTGAATAGCACAATTGGTGTATCCGCATCTGTTGATCGGTTCATATGAGCGCTGAAGTTAGTATAACCTCAAAACTTTGTGCAGAAGAATAAGCTTTGCCTCGCTTACTCTCTCTCTCTCTCTCTCTCTCGGTTACTTTAGTCTGGCCAAGTAAAACGCGTCCAATAAATTTGTATTTGATTCAACTTAGAATTTCCTTTTTGTCATCTTTTAGGTTAGATTACAATTAAATTCGACTATAAATGCTTTCATCACTAATTATCCTAATATATTCGAAAATAAGGCAAATCATGTCAAGGACTCATTCTCGGTTAATATTAACAAAAAAATTAATGAAATTAAGGCAGAGCGTATTTATGCAATCTTTTGCGGGGCGTTACTCTATTGTCTTATCGTTTATTCACGACTCTCTATATTATCTTTAACCAAAAGCCGCCTGAGTGGCCGAAGGCGAGAAATCTCGACTAGCAACTCAATGGTCGTGGGTTCGAATCTCAAGTGCGGTAGAGTTTTTAATAAAAAAAGCCGATAGCCTTAGGTGCTAGTGCTTTAAGAGTTTAGTCTTAGAATTTATTTCTCTGGCCAAATAAATAATAATAATAATAATAATAATATCTTTAACTAAATATCGAACATGCCACATAGGAGGTATGCTACATAATCTTATAATCGGGATTGAAAGAGACCGTCGTTTCAATATAATTTAATGATGAGTGAGTGTAAACGTTTTCGTCCAGGTTTAGTAGCTATCGTGGATGGAATTAAAACAAGCTATCAAAATCGATGGGTTGATGTTTATTATCAAACACTTGTTAGTATCTTCTTTTTTATCACATATTAGTTCACATATTCTCTGTGAGTTTTTCCACAGGATGGTGTTCGTGCGGGCAACAATCATCTGATTATCTTAAACGAACATTTCCCTAAAAGGTAACATTTCAGCTTATATTTTTTGTGCAGATAGTTTTCCAATTCTCTACTCGCATGGCAAAAAACTTTTATTGATTTGAAAATGAGTTAAATATCTGAAGAAATACGCTCCGTGATGCTTTCTTACTGTAAAAAAGGTAAAAAAAATTCTGAAATCGACCGGTGTGTGAGTGAAATACTGTGAGTGAACGAAGGAGCTAGAAGTGGTTTGCTCGATTCTCTTCCGGAAATTACGATGTCAAACATCAATCTCGTAGTCGATAAAATTATGCAATTGGTGGAGCAAGACTGGCACGCAAGCTGTCAGGAAATAGCGTTCGCACTAAACATTAACCGCATGGCGGTTTCGAATCATTCGAATCACCCAAAGAGAAGTTTGAAAACGCGGAGACTTTTCAATATGACCCATTATTATTACCGAAGGATGATGGGTGTCATCGGCATTAAATTCTAAATTGGCATTCCTCTGGCCACACAAAATTAAAGCTATCGACTTTCAACTTGGCAGAAACATTGCAAATTCATGCACGCAGGTTGGCATTGACAATAGTCCACACTGCTCGAAGCACACGCTTACAGTGTTATGTAAAGGGAGGACGCCGCTCTTTTTCCAAAAGGAATAAAAAATATTTTTTAAACAAAATTTTTCTTCTGCGGAACTTGCTTTTGATTCTTATCCGAATTCTATGTTATGTTTATACATTTTGTAATTAACGTATTCAACGTACAATCTAACTGATAAGACACAGTGCAATGACACAGTGTGATGGAAAATTCAAGATGTAGTTCAAAGTCCGTGAATTGAGATTTCGCACAAGAGTCGATGATTGTGTTTCGTTCCAAATCAAAATTTTCTTATGTGAGACAAACTTGAGCTGATCCATTTTATAACTGTCTTACAGTTGGCAGAATCCGTTTTGTCGGTTCTAAGTTTGCCAAAATGCAAAAGGCTTAGGCCTATTTATTAGATTAGTTGCAAGCGTAAGAAGATTTATTTGTTTTGTAAAATAGAATTTTGTCATTTTTGGGGCCGGATGAATTGCCTTCAATCCGCCTAAAGAAACAGGCCATAAATTTAAATTTTTATTCTTGAGAAGCGGTCCCTTGCCGAGTTCTGCTTATGTATTTATTTAATCCATGTTTGTGATAAGAAATCAATCCAGGCATTGATTGCTGGCAAGTCCCAGGGCACCTCACTTCACGAGTTTATTTCTCGTCACAAGCAAGGATTTATTGTTGCAAATACGAAGTCTTCGTTTTTCATGTCATTTGCTTTTTTCTAACCTATAAAGGTGACGTTGTCTGAATGATAAACACTTCAGGCATGAAGAGGAGTATTCTGCTTTGCCCCTTTCGTTTTTTCTTTGTTTTCTTTTTTTAACTTTAAGTACTTCCGGCAATTGTCGCTTACTGGTTCGCTGGTCATTCTGATCAGCAGCTCCTTTGCAACTTTTATGCTTGCTTGGTATTTCTTTCACTGTTCACAGTCCGTCATAATTATGGTTAGAGCAATGAAATTTAAATGAATTATATTTTTGAAAAACAATTATAAATTATTTCGTTTACACAAATGATATGACATAGGGACATAAACTGAAAGTATCGAAAAGTATTTAATAGAGATAATAAAGCAAGGTCTACTATGTGGCACACGTAAAGTCAACTGGTTAATCGTTAACTGCGGGTTCATTATTTCAAAATCGATCGGAACTAGTTTTGGTTCGAACATGAAGAACATAGTCCTGGGAAACATTTGAGTAACGGAATTTTTGAAAGAAAAGTAAAAAGATAACTGTTGCTCCCTTTTTGAAGTCGTTCCAGGCTCGGATCTACTGTAGACGTGTAGATCAGAATTCAATTTTGTGTCCTTAATCTATTTAGCATATGCTTGCGTGATGCTTCTTCTTTTTAGTTGATATCGACGAAAATATCATCGGCATCTCGGTAAAAGAAAACTGCTTATCGGCATTTTAAGATCTTTTCATGTAAGTAAAAGTCGCCACAATATGCTGGGACATTATGTGCCTTATAACTATTTCTTTAAAGCTGGAAATAGAGGCTGTAGTTAAAGTGATAATAAACTAAGAACGTGTAGATGTGAACTTTAAGCGGTCAGTATCTATTATTCACCACTTTTTCGATTTGTGGCACCATAGTATGTTCGGTATGCAACTTCAAATGTCAAAGCAACTGGAACGACTTAACTTGTATGACGAGTGACAACAAGAAAAACTCCTTACAGTTGTTTCTTGGTTTCAATTTAACTCATGATCACTCCACAGGAAAGAGGGAGGAACTTGTATTTGCGAGTATGTTCCGCACGTATAGTCGCGTAGATAAGAATCGCAACTACCTAGTCAGTGTTCACGATTTCAAATCTCAGCGCGTTAGAGTTTACCTTGAACGTAGTTATAGAGAAGGCTCTGTCGATAAAGGCGCAATACTTACCGATTGGGTCTACACCTACTAGTCTGCGAACACTACCCTTGAGTGTGTTACATGAATGGGAAACGTCCCGTGAGTGATTGATTACGAACAACAACGGAACCAAGAGTCAGTTTGAAAGTGAAAAGATCTAGAACGATGGTGGAAAAGCACTGTTGATGCGTTGCCGTGAAGGCGGGAAGGATGGTCGTAAACAAAAATCTTGTTTCCTTTTTTTCATGTTCTTTTGCCATTTCTTTCGTTGCACTGAAACTTACCGAAAATCCAATGTAATGCAATTTTCCCCGTAATAGATGATAGAAGAAAACAAGACATTTATATATATATATATATATACAAATATATATATATATATATATATATATATATATATATATATATATATATTCAACTTTTTTATTGTTATCAGATTTGTCATTTCAATCATAATTTGTTTGTCATTTCTTTTTAGCCTTTACTTTCAATTTAAATCGATTATTGTTTTCGTTCTTGTGTATGTATGCTACATTTGTTTGTTTCCTTTTATTTTGTTATTTATTTATTTATTTTTTTTTTACTATTTTTATTTTTTATTTTTTATGTACAAGCAAGTGTTAAACTAGCATTTATTTGAACAGCATGTTAGTTGTTATTACTATCGTTATTGTTGTTTTAGTTGTAGTTGTAGTTGTAGTTGTTCAACTTACATTATACAGCAACAGTTAAAATATATTTCATTGTATTCTACTAGAAAGTAAACTAATTTGTTTTCATTTTACGTTTGTTTTTCTTTTTGTCATTTATTGCATTTTTAGTGAGCCGTAAAGACAATAAAGCATACATTTAAGATATATACATACATATAAAAATAACTAACAGCAGACAGACAGCAGAGTACGAAATTTAATCAGACTCGACCGAATTGTGAATGTGAATAAAAAAATATATGTTTCATTATTATTGTTATAAGTAGACACACCCGTGCGAACAGACAGATATTCCTTATAGTACTCATTCATAAACATTGAATTTTATTACGGTTCCTGACGATGATGATGATGATGATGATTATTTTTATTTGAGGATGGTTGTGTTATAAGTGTTAATTACGTTTATTTACTGTGACTAAAAATATAATTAAGATGCACAGGCCAAAAATATACTTTTCAAAAATATACATACACACGCATACACACACACACATACACACACACACACGCAAGTAATATAATAATATTATTATTAACTGTTTATGATACACATATAGAAAAATACATATATATATATATATATATATATATATATGCACATATATTATTACTTATACATTCGTCTGTACGCATTTATGTACAAAAAAAAAAAAAAAAAGAGAAAAGAAAAAGAAGAGTTGCGCAAGCAAACGTGAAGAAGATGTTTATGTTCGTTCTGTACATGTGTATATTACTGTATGAATTTGTCGGGCTATTTAAATTAATTTCCTCAATATTCAAGTTATACTAACTAAATATTGAGATTAAACACAGTGAGTACACCTATAAGCGTGCTATACTACATGAATATCATCTACTGCAAGTGGAATGAATTGTGATGAAAAAAAAAAAAAAAAAAGAAAACAAAAACAAAAACAAAATTAAAATGTTGTCACACACTTATCAACTAACTATTGACAATAAAATGTTTTACAAGCTTTTACGTTTTCATATTTCAACGTTTGATTGATTTACTGATCTTCGATTGTTAAGTAACTTATATAGCGTATCAATAGTACGCACACATATTTAAAATGTTTAAAAAAAGTAACTCATTGTGATGTTATCATAAGAGGAAAGTAAGATTAATATACTGCTAGCGATAGTGTTTCCATTTCTTCATTTCACATAGCATGATTTTAGGGGGTTTTTTTTATCGTTCGCAACGTTTCATTTGTATGCTATAAGTAGCATGCAACAACTGATGCTGTAGCTATTTTATTGATTTTTAACGCCATAGGATAAACGATAACGGAGAAAGGAGTATGTTGACTACTAACACTATTGCTGCTGCTGTTGCTGCTGGTGCTGCGTCTGCTTTTGCTGATATTGAGGGTAATAACTGTGTTGTGGCAATTGAGGTTGAAGAGCTATAAAGTGTCGTAATTGTTTTCTTAGTTTTGCACGAAACTTACGCAACTTGGGCCTAAGCCGCTATCACGTTCCAGTTGATAAGTCATCCTTAAGCCACTGAGGTATGGGCCGTGCTCCCAATTTCTTCATAAGCTTGACAAGTGCTGTATTATGGCTTAAATAATATCTGAAAAATGCAATTAAATGATACACATACGTATTAGGAAAAAATGGTATGGAAAGCGGAGAAAAAATTCATTTATGCTATGGGAAAACATTTTCTTTTTCTCCTCTTTTTTTTTATATATAATAAATTTTGATATGAATTTAAAGATTCTTTTTTACAGAGTTGTGATTACGTGGTTTTTTCTTCGCCACAGACGAATACAGCGTATTATTTGGAAATTTTTTAACCCATTACAAATACTCATTATTTGGACCGGAAGGTAAAATTTGCCGTATACACCTCCCTACAGTCTCTTTAAAATATTCCTTACAGTTAGTTAGTTACACATGAAACAAGAAGGTAAAAACGATCCGAACCAGCGAAGAAACTATTCCGCGATCCCAATGTGTAAGTTAGAGGTGACGAGCATCATATATCGGCCGCCCTAATATTGTATTTTACAATTATTTCCTCTCATATCCTAGTTCTCCTAGTTTGAGCCATGACTTAGTATCATAACTATATTATCTGTCAATGCAACGCGATTGACAATTGCCGCAAGCGATGAGCAATTGGACATTTTTACCAAAAAAAATCGAATTCATACGAAATCATAAGATATAGGTTGACATCTAAATGCTGATTTGTTTGGACGTCACTCATTCCTATTTAAAACTTGTGAAGTGAATCTATTTCAAAAGCGATTAATGTACGGAATCGAAAAAAGAAAAAAATATTAATTAACAAAGAAAAAAAAAAAAACTAAAATATTGTAAGAAAATTATATTCTCTTCTATCCTTTAATATACACCACCGTTACCTGAAAAAAAAAAACGAAAAAAGTAGAAGTAAATTTTCATGCTCTATAACATGGACTAGCCGCGGCCGATTCTTTCTATATTCCGAATAAAAGTTTTTGGCGCTTAGGTGTGTCGGCGTTGCAGACGGGTCCTTGGAAAAGTTTTAAGTTTTTTGCAAATTGTAAGCGATATCTTCATTATCGCTAATGGGTGGATCTTTATCGCAAACAGACAAATGGACAGACGAACAGACGGGCATGTTTCGACGCATTCCAAATTTGAAAGACTTTTATATAGCTTATGGGGTTTCTTGTGCAAGGTATTGAAAAAAAAAAAATTAAATTTTGATACACTATAATATCAGACGTATTGACGTAGTCAATTTTTTCCATTTTTGTAGAGGCAGTATCTCGCAGCATTGCCCATGGCATATACGGTTCAATTTTTGGTAGATCAATCTGTTGTAGTGTATAGTTTAGTGAGTAAAAAACTGACTTTTAATTGCTTTTCAAAGACAGAGGTGTCTTCGCATTACGCAACACTGTAGGCGTGTCCTTCAACGGATGTGGCCCATTTTCAATGCCAATCTGCAAGAAGTTTTAATTTTTCTGCCAAATTTGACATGGATAGTTTCATTTTTGTGGCCAAAAGAATATTCACAGCAGACACAGCACGGACGGACATGCTTGAATCAATTACGAATTTCATGCTGATCTAGAATATTTATATGTACTTTGTGGCATCGCTAGTGCTTCCTTGTGGGCGTTGCAAATCTTTCGACAAAATGAATATAACTCTCATCCTTCGTTGATACGCATAACAAAATTATAGAAATATTGTATATTTGCATAGAAAGCAAAAGCCAATAAATTTGAATACGGAACGAATTTAAATTTTATTTAATGCTAATTAACATTGGTTTACATTGGAAATTAAATTAAATTTATTTTATGAATTTACTCTTCGTTCAAATCAAATGCAAATAGCCAAAGCAAACAAAGGATAATATGAAATCAAAACTTTCCCTATTGTGTGAATAAATTTTTAATATTTAAAGTTAGTTTTACGGCGAATCTCTCCAGAGTATAGTTAGCCACCCACCAATCCCATCAATTCATATTCATAAGAACTTCATGAAGTACGCAAATATGCTTCATTGGCATATAGCTTTACAAATAGATGTAATATTGCCCGCACACCGGTCCCTTCTCCTAGCTGATGTTCAATAGTTTAAAGTCACATATAATGGGATCATCACTGCGAATGGATAAAACACTTAGAAACTTACATTCTATAAATTAATTACAAATGATACAAGTATTTCACGAGGTCACCTAACGGATCAATGTGAAAGAAGCTCGCAATCGATCGACTGTCTTGTCCACAACTAAAAAAATACTTAACACTCTTTTTATGGGTCACCTTTAACATGTTCACGGACGTGGATACTTAAGCATTCATTTTCATTCTGATGCAAAATGACATGCACGCTATAGCGCTCAAATTTTAAAGCCAATTATTTTTATTTAATAATTAATAATAATTAGCTAAAAAATTGGATCTGTATCATCATGGATCTCATGGATATATATATGTATTTACAATATATATGTATATACAAATTGTATTGTGGCTAGTGTTACAAAATATTTTTATTCAGATTTCGGATAACACAGAAATAATTGTAAAATAAATTGACTGTAATTTTTTGCACCTCATTGAAGTTCTTATTGCCCGCGAACATTTTAAGGTAACGAATATCATAGATCCACTCTAAAGTTAAGTTAGTTGAAAAAGCATACAAACAGTAGCATCATTTTGTATAAAAAGCAATAAGAACAGTCTAGTCGGACAAGATCGACTTTTAAGTACCTTACATCATTTTGGCTAATACAATCAATCATTTATTTATATTGATAGGGATCTCAAAAAATAATCCCATCGGATTCAAATTTTTCACATCAATTTAAAATGCTGAACTACTGTTCTTTGGAGAATTTTCGTGCGAAAATTATATTTTTTCGTATGACGACATTTCAATATAAGGCCTGATCTGATTCGAAGCATTTGCAAAGCTTTCCTGGGTGTGTCGAAAAACATCGGTATACCAAATTGCATCAAAAATTACGAGCTTGCGAGGAATACACAAGAGATTCTGAAATGATAGGTATAATCCATGTCTCCATTAGGTGTATCTATTTGCACATATATCCGTACAAACTTGATGTAGGGTATAAGTGAAATTTCTTCGTTTTTAAGAGTTAAACGTTCATAACGGTAAGTTCAGCCGAAAAGCTTAGAAAAGTAAAACAGTAAACACTTAAAACATGATAATAATTACACTAAGTGTTGAACTAATTAATTATTTTAATTAAGCTAATAAAAATTTTCATTGTAATTATGAGCTGTTGCGGTGGTGAGTCAATCATATCAAAAAAAAAAAAAAAAAATCTAGTCTACTTTACCAAAGTTAAAGCAAAAGATATGTCAGATTATAATAAAATTATCCCTAAAAGCCGCTTATGAAGATTAACTTTCGGTAAAGAATTTTTCGAAGTACTAGTAGGGAACATAATAAAAAAAACGATAATCTTAGTTTTACCTGGATGTGATTGACTTTTTTGCAATTTTTGTAATCATGTGTTTGTTGTTTCTGCCAAATTTGAATTCACATACCTTCACTTTTGGTGTCATGATAATATTTATCATGGACACCATGCAGACGGACAGACGGAAATGCTTAAATCTATTCAGAATTCAATGCGGATCAAGAATGCATAGACTTTATTCTGTCTCTAAAGGCGGTAAGTACTCAACTCACTAATTTACGATTTATCGCGAATGCCTAAATAGGGTTAATTGGTTCAGCGATACGCTTACGATTTGAAAATTTTTACCAAAATTCCCTGAACTGCGAATATAATTTTCTTACTTGTTTCCGATGTACTTTCACACCATATTAACTAATGTCAAATGCTAAGCTCTTTGAAGAGTAGAACACTGAAGAGGTCATAGGACAATTCATTACAGTTATACGTAATGTACATCAATATGAATACAGTAAAAAAGGTTAGCTAGTAACGTTTAACTACATTTGCATTTTTTAGATTGATTTTTAGGCTCACTCCCGAAGGAAGACACATTAAATTGGTGCTACCTTTAACCCAAAACCGATTATGATGAATGTTTCAAGGTCATTTGAACTTTCCACTTAAATTTCTTTGATTTTACATTTATTTCTACATTTATTTATTTGTATTTCCAACGAATCTTACCACCATTTGTCTCGTAGCCTCGCAGTCAGAGAGGACTCCCGCACCCAATCGAGAGAAAGTTTGGGAGAGAGATGCTTTAAGGATCTGCGCATACCATTTCTAAAGCAATGTGTTATAATGTTTTATATTTGTTTATATCTTGTTTAAAGAGATAAATCAATATGAAGTATGAACAACTTCCTATTCAAGATACGGGACACCTTTCTGACTGTAAGCTTGTCAGTGTCATTGTGGTATGATTTTTTTATGAAAACTCGTGAACCGATTAGGGTTAATAATTTATGGAAATACGTTCTAAAGAATCCATAAAATATATGCATTCTTGATTACCTGGATTTTGAACGCATTTAGGTTTTCTTGCCTTACCTGCTCTGGCTCGTTTTGTGTCTAATAGAAAAAAGTAAAACATGAAAGACACCTGACCTTAAGCAAGCCGAAGGATTAACAACTCGCTACATTTACAACCGCACTCACAATGACCACAATTTAAAGCTGGCTCGAGAAAATTGCAAATTTGTAGATTGTAATACATTATATATATATATATATATATATATAATAATTTCGAATTTGAGCCCAGTATCCATTGAAGTTAAAGGATGAGTTGAACTTGATTGGTTCACAATTAGTGAACAACTGATTGCTGTGGTTGTGTATTATTTAAAGCTGAAAAACTGTCGCATGCGATATATTTTTAATTCCATTCATCAAATATGTGAAGAAAACGTGAAAATAAATTAAATTTTTTCTTCTCTTTTCTTATATAAAAAACATGATCGTAAAATTGTCCGTAAACAGTGTTTAAGCTGTATAAAGCAATAAAAGAAGTTTTAGTCGGTTCGCGACAAACCTATTCATACCTATGAAAGAGAGAGCGATCGACGGATCTCTTAAAAATATATCTTTTTATACGGCTTGGCTGTACGTTACAAGAGCAATTGAACAAATTTACATCCTATATTTCCGATGATTTGCTAATGGAGTTTTAGTTACCCTAATAGGACTGTTCAACCAAGCTTCAAAGTTCGAACTAAAAGCTTTAGCTAGAAGGGGCATTTATTAGGGGTTTAGTAAATGTGATCGGACTTATGAGCTAGAATAGTTGCAATTCCAACTTGAGCAGACGGATGTGATGAAAAGTATATATTTAAAGTATATTGAACTTCCGCTCATTATATGATACAAACATTTGGAAAACTTAATATACCGCGTGGCATGAATATGAAAACATAACCGATAGGTGATTAATTTGACATAAACGGTTGTCATGATTGCGATAATGATAGTCCTGATGAGATGGAATATATTGTCGAACAGTAAACAGCGAAAGTGAAGGAAGATTGCAGAATAAGACAAAAAATGAAAATTAAATATATACACATATGTATATATGTATATATATGTATATGTGTATATCTATATATATATATATATATATATATACATATATATATTGCTTCTCTCAACTAAATGATTGATTGATGTTGATAATATATACAGAAAAATATTTGCACAAAATACATGACACATTCTTGTTCTTGCATTTTCAATGCATACACCGTTCATATTATGCATCTGCATTTGTCATTAGTGTTGAGGTGATGAGTATTTCGATAGCGAAAATATATTCATTTTGATAATTTCTCCTTATTTTGTTTCTGCAAAATAAACTAAATGGGTCAAGTTTGTTTTTCCAACCCAACCTCAATACAAAATCATTGCTTATAGTCAATGTACAAGTAAAAGCACGAAAAGGAGACGTTTGTGCGATTACTGGGCTATATACACCATAAACGTTCTCCATTAATCAATTTTAGAATATTGATTTAAAACACATGACGATTTCACTGTTAAGAAATTATTATACGTTTGCTATCCATTAACTAACGAAGGACGGCGATATACTAATTTCTCATAATGTTTGCAACATTCAAAAAGAAGCTTCTGAGACTCTATACAATATATACGTTCTTGATGCGTTAAATTCTGAATCAATGTAGCTCTGCCTATACCCGTCTGTGCACCTGGGTGGATATTTGCTTTTGACGCTCTCCTAGTCGCAAACATAAGGAATCGACTTTTATTTTGATGGCAAATCGATATTGAAAGTAAGGCCAAATCAGTCGAAGGACACGCCCACAGTACAACCTACACTGAAAGCATCTCTGTGCATCTATAAATTGTAGAAGATTGGAGACAAAAACTTTCTGAATGTATGTTATCGAGAACCCCACGATTCATGTTCAAAAAATACGAAATATCGGCCACGCCCACACAAAGTTATTAGTAATAAAATTTCCATTTCATTTACCATTTCGATGTTTTCTACTCATACAAGACAAACAAGACAAAAAGTTAAAAATATAGTCTATAGATTCTATACGCGAAGATCCATTGCCTTCAATTAGAAGAAATTGAATGCCTTCCCTCATTATAATAATTTCGAAATTTAGTTGCTTTGGTTTCCAATGTTCTTTTATTCAGTTAGAGCGGAGAGAAGATTGTACATCTTGATTGAGTTTTTATTTTAAAAATGGAAATAGACAACCGACCGTAGTATAATAACCGGAATGGTAATGGGTTTAAAAGATTCAAAAACGGACGAATGTAACTTGTTTACTTGCTTTCATATTAGATCTGCTTTTAATTCAATTTCGATCCGCTTGAGTGGCCGAGTAGGCAAGAGTCTCGACTAGCAACTCTCAATGGTTGTGGGTTCAAATCTCAAATGCAGTAGAGTTTTTTTTAATAAAAGCCGAAAGCCTTAGATGCTAATGCTTTAAGACTTTAATCTTAGAATTTATTCTCTGGCTAAATTTATTATAATAATTATAATAATAATAATAATAATAATTATTATTATTATTTAATTTCGAAGTTAAACCGAGTGGCCTCACCCTATCATATCGTGTTATGTCTGCAATCTACAGAAAAACAGAGCAACAATATCATCTTTTTAAAGAAATTTTCACAAGAATTTAGCGAACGTGTTCATGAGAGTAAACAAATGAAATGGACACTCCTTGAAATCATTAGAACTACAATTCAACGTCAAAGTCATACAATTCATTTTAAGGTTCATCTTTTACGGAACAGAAAGCTGCTAGCCCCATAAATAAACAAATTGAAGGCGCAAAGTGAACCGTGCCATAAGAAGCGTTAAGTGGAATTTTTATTTAACGTTTTTACGCCAAATTTATGCAAAGCTGAGACTTTCTTGTCATTAGAAAATATGACAACCATAAGAAACATTGCAAAGATGTCGATAACTATCCAACTTCGTCATCTTCTTAAGACCACAGAACCGTTAACTATTAAAAGTATAAAGTTCCAAATGTTGCCTTGATTATCCTTATTGCCGGTACATGCCCTCTCACACTTGGCCATTCAGGATAACATTGCAGGAACATTTTGAGAACATTACTGCGAAACTGTATTGGACATCGCAGTTGTCCTTTGTTCCGCTCCTTCCTTTGACCTAGATACGTGATTCGTTATGAAAGAAATTTAGTTCCTTGGAACAATGTATTGTTGAATGTTGCGTCGATTATTAGTTGCAAGAGATATATTACGGATATCACGGATACGGAATCAGTCAATTCATATTAGGCTGATCGGAATGTCGTTTCTGAGTTTTCGCAATAGAGGACTGAATTAATTGGACTTTTCTTTTTTACATCCAACTTCGTACCCCCAGCCGCATTATATATTTTTCCCAGCTGATATTGCAACTCGTGACATCACTGAGAGCTTAAATAAATTGAACTTGACCGATTATTATGGCATATATATTGTTTCGCAATATGCTCTTTGCGATTTCATATACTTATCCGATTTGCATTGAGATCAAGTTCGTATCACTGAACTGTGCGATCTTTAGGATAGTGTATAGGTGTCATTTACGCTTCTTAGAGAATCTATTTATAAATTATTAACAGGAACTTGTATTCACAATTATTTTTTTTGTCTCGGCATATTGAATATTACGATTCAAATAATCAATCATCTAGGGAAG